AGCCTGGATCTCTCACGTCCGAGGCCCTTAAGTCTCTCTCAATCCCTCTCAGCCGGTTTTGTTGACAGTCCTTTATGTTGGACATCAAGTCTCGGAGCAGCTCTGACCCAATAGGATCTATGTTTCTTCCAACCAGACCTCCATATTCAAAGAAGGAGCCCAAATCCTGTTTCTTACTCTTTTTAAGTCCAAATGTCCCAAATGTCCCAAAAGCTCCAATTTTCGCCTTAATTGAATTTGTAATCCATAGGTCTTCCGAACTCCCCATAGGGAGAAGTCCCCAATCTTCATTCTCCATTTCAAACCAAATTCTCATCATCCAAACCTTGCTTTCCTTATGCTCCACCTTAACAGGCCTCTGGTTGTCCTTTTTCGCCTGCAGCATTTTAGCTCTTCCTTCCCACTCCTCTGAAACAACACATGTTTCTTCTTTTTCAGCTGCAAACTTTTCTTGAGTCAAGTCCTTGACAGCATCAGCAAATTTGTTTACTTTAAAGTTCAAGGTTGTAACATTTGTAACCATAACTTCACTCTGCTCTTGCAGCTTTCCCAGGAAAGAAAACATTCTATCCAACTCTGCCTGTATTTTTCCATCTGCAGCCATTGTAATATCTCAGAACCCCCTCTAGAGGGATTCTGGTTACTTAGTATTCTTTCTCCAACAGTCAGGTTATTTTGTTCTTATTTCTTCTTTGTTTTCAAGAGCTTAAAATCCAATATAACAAAAATAACCGGCAAAAGTGACAAAAAACAAATTTTTCTGACTTTGACAGCTCATTTGACAGCTGTCAAACTCTTTATATATCCTCAACAGGCTCTCTCACGGATCGCTCCCGGATCCTGGGGGTGGTTACACTTCGGCTCTAACGATCAATTCTAATCCTCCAGCAGAAAACTTATATAGCCAAGTCGTGAAATTAAATTTTTTTGTCTCAAAGAGAGAAAAGTAGTCTCTCGACCTTAGTTATCCAATTCTTGCTTTAAATTATTTGCAAGGGGGGGAGGCGGACTTCCTTTTGACACCTCCCCCGATCGTACCGAATTCAAATAAAAAGAAATTTTTAACTCCGATTTCCGTATTACTCACGGGTTGTTACTTTTATAGTCCAAATGATCAAGGAAAGAAGTCAGCGCTCTCCAGCCATGGCTTGCGGCTTCACTCCGTGGAAGAAGCGGTCTACTCACTACACCACGCCGCTCTCCGTCCCCCATCTCCGAAGCCTTTAAAAAGGCTTCTTCGCGGGTCGGAGGGGGCGCAAATGGTGCCCGCCGAGTCACCAAGTCCACAGGCTTCAGCGCCCGTGGTTTCGGAGGGTCCCCGCATCACCGCCACAGCAGGACCCGTCTTCCACAGAGCCGATTCCCTCCGGAGCTCAGAGGGAATCCGCCATTAGCCGATCGCGCTAACCCGGAAGTCCATTTTGTTTTCTGGGACCCACTCCCAGGCAGCCCTGATGCCTCCCCTTCAGAACAAAATAAAACCTGTTTTTTAAAAAAGCAATAAAACAATAAAAACCAAAAACAGTAAAAGTTACAAACATGCCAAAATTAGACCAATTTCCAAACACGACTAAACGTCCACCCCCCACACCAGAAACAATTTTAAAGGTAAAAAAGAAAATTTTAAAGTATTTTTAAAAGAACTCTGTGCTGTTCTGAGTTCTCCTGGGCAGCGACAGCAGCAGCCTCAGCTGTCCTTATGAGGCCTGCCAGGCCCTGCCCTGGCCAGGTGGTGAGTGGCAGGAACGGGACCCCCAGGCAGGGGAGTCCTCCTGGGCAGTTGATTACACGCATCGGGTATCTTACATAACCAAACAAGGATAAACTTGGTTCAGAATAGAGAATATTGGTAGCGATCTACTGCTTAGTTACAGCATATACAAAGAAGCTCTTCTGCAATAATTTTTTATAGTGTCCCTCTAAATATTCTGAGCACATAGTCTGAAAACAAAAGTCAGAAATGCTTGCCTAAATGAACAGATTGGTAAATCAGAGGGGGAATTCTCAAGTTCATGTCTTATTTTAATTAAATACCAATGTGGGGCAGTGTTCAAAATTAGCCAGGCGCCAGACACATTTTGCACCTGGCTATTGGCAACTTATCATTAGACAGCTGTTGCAACTGAAGCTCTTTCCACACCCCAAAAATGTATGTGGTTTGTCCCCTGTACGAGTTATTTCATGCACAGTAAAGAAACTATAACTGAAGCTCTTTCCACACATCAACTTTCATATGATTAGTCCCCTGAATGAGTTCTCTGCTGTCAAGAAAGGTGGTTACTGCGGCAGTAGCTCTTTCCACACTCCAAACATTTGTATGGCTTGTCCCGTGTGAATTCTCTTATGTGCATGAAGGATGTTAGAGTCACTGAAGCTTTTTCTAGATTTCAAACATTTATACGCTTTCTCCCGTGTATGAGTTCGTCGATGCACATTAAGGGAGGCAGTCTGACTGAAGCTCTTTCCACACTCCAGGCATTTATATGGTTTTTCCCTTGTGAGTTCTTTGATGTTTAGTAAGGTAGCCACTGCAGCTGAAGCTCTTTCCACACTCCAGGCATTTATACGGTTTTTTCACCTGTATGAGATCTTCGATGCACATTAAGGGAGGCACTCTGATTGAAGCTCTTTCCACACTCCAGGCATTTATATGGATTTATATGGTTCTCCTGTGTGTGAATTATATGATGCATTTTAACAGACTTGCTGCAACTGAAGCTCTTTCCACACTCCATGCATTTATAAGGTTTTTCACCTGTATGAGATCTTCGATGCACATTAAGGGAGGCACTCTGATTGAAGCTCTTTCCACACTCCATGCATGTATATGGTTTTTCCCCTGTGTGAGTTCTTTGATGTTTAGTAAGGGGTACTACTGTCAAAGAAACTCTTTCCACATTCCCAGCATTTATAAGGTTTCTCCCCTGTATGAGTTCTTTGATGCAAAGTAAGGTAGCCACTGGATCTGAAGCTCTTTCCACACTCCATGCATTCATAAGGCTTCTCCCCTGTATGAGTTATATGATGCACATTAAGGTGGCCACTGTTTCTGAATCTCTTTCCACACTCCAGGCATTTATAAGGTTTTTCACCTGAGTGTACGCTTTGATGTCTAGCAAGGGCTGAGCGACTACAGAATCTCTTTCCGCACACAGTACATTCATGTTTTTTCTCCACCCTGTTAATCTGATTTTCATCTTCTTGGAAACACTGTGTTCATCCCTTGGCTTCACTGTTTCTCTCCCCTCTTGTTTGTTGGCTCCATCTTGAACCCCCAACTTCCTTTCCTTCTCTTGCTCCTCAGCTCTTTCTGGCCAGACGTCTGATGGCTCCTCCTCATCCAGGACCCCCAAACATCTCCTGATGGAATAAAAATTTTAAAATAAAGGTTAATACAGCTGTTTCATTATCGAAACTCAAGGCCTGGCACTGTGTTAAAGGCGTTTTACATAAAAATTAATGGTGTGATACCTGGCTTTAATAAAATATCACCATTTAATGAAGGGTTATTTGTATCAGAAAAGTTCTGGTGAGCAGCCCCTAAGATTAACCAAGCCATAAATAACACAATTTAAACCAGCAGGCAATAACATCAACAGAGCCTGCCTGCCTCTGGGCCAATGTGAGGCGGCTGCCTCAGGTGTCACCCCCAAAGGGGCGTCAGTACTCAGCTTTGCTGCTAGTCTCCCCGGCCTCTCAACTTTGTCAGGATCTGAAAAGGCTCTTTGCCAGTGGGTTGTCACGGCTAAAAATTGGCCGCTGTTTCTTTAATGCTTAAAAAGCTGGGTCAGCATGAGTCAGCGGCATGCACCGGGTTGTATATATGGAGTGAGAAATGTTAGTTTCTGGTTGGGTTTGGTTGGTTGGTTAGTGAAAGCTGGTAGTGTTGATGTGTGTACAGTTGGTCAACCGCTTTTGCAGAAAGACTTTTAAGAATAAAAGCAGAAAGTACTCTGCAAGGATACTTTTCTCGTGCACTTTTTTATGCCAACAAGAGTCCGAGGAACAGGCTGAGGCGACAAAGGGAGGTCAGAACTTTTTATATATATACAAACACTGACATGGATGGGGGGGAGGCGTCTGCACCCCTTGGAGGTCTCATGGGGTGAGGGGGGACCACCCAACCCAACTTGCAGGGGTATGCGCCTCATGGATTTTGAGCCCCCATTGTGGGGGCAGAAGTGAGGCCGCCCCTGAGCACTGATAATACAGCACTGCAACTCAGAGAAGCTTGAAAAGCCTAGATCTGCAGAGCTTGTTTGAAAAACCAAAATGAATAATAACAATAGTAGCATTTATTTTATTTATATTCCAACCGTCTGGCTGGGTTTCCCAAGCCACTCTGGGTGGCTTACAGCATATATAAAAATGCAACCAAACCTCAAATATTAAGAAACAGAATATTCTATATATGCAACAAACAAACCAATACATCAATAGAAACCAATAACAAGATACTCAAGTATTCTACAAATTAGGGTCCCCCACATAGAAGATTTTTAGTATGCTTTTTCTACCATTCTCCACGCTAGATTGCCACAATGCATTATACTTCAGGCTGCTTTAGAAGACCGTTCAGAATCTACAGAGTGCTGAGCATATCTGGGTTCCTGTCTTCAAGTCAAGGTGCTGATTTTGACTTATGTAGCTCAATGGCTGCTTCTCATGAATCCACCTAGAGCCTGCACTCATCGTCTGAGGTCCTTCTCACAGTGCCCTCTCCAGCTGAGGGGCAAAGAGAGGCAATACGGAATGCGTCTTTCAGTGCTGGCTCCCTACCTAAAGAATGCTCTTCCACAGAGAAGGCAACCCTGAAGCCATCACTGGCTAATTGTAGCAGAGAAGCAAGAATGTTTACTCTCAGCCAGGCTTCTGGCCTTTAACTTGGGAGAAAAACAAACACGGTGACCTCCTTTAGCGGAGCTGAAGGGAGGCACTCCGAGCCCCTGAGGAACCCATACCTATTATAACTATTAATGAAGGCGAAAAAGGATCCTTACCCTGAGAGGTCACCATCTCATGAACCTCCACCATGACGTCCTTGTACAGAGCTCTCAGTAGGGTCCAGTTGTCGTCAGCGAAATGCAAGGACACTTGTCAAAGCTCACTGATCCCTGGAAGGACAGAACAATTCCCTTCCTTATAGACACTCCAAGGCAAGGTGTGGAAACCATCTCCCCTCAGCTCCCCCTCCGATGATAGATGGGGCAACTGGAGATTTTACCTTCAGTGTTTTGTTTTTTTAATAAGATGTGAAAATCTGGATAACTAAATTTAAGACTGGGGGAAATGAGTGTTTTGTCCCACCCCATACTCCCTCCTTCCTCAGTGTGTAAAGACCATACATGCTGCCCAAGAGGCAAAATGGGAAGTGGAGAGGGATAATTTTTTCAATGATGGCTTATGCATACTGGTTTCTAAATTGGTTTGTGGGTTTTAGTTGTGTTCTAGCTCCCATTGGATCACTGTGCCACTTGAGAGACCTTTTGGATCAGGTGTTTAGAAATCTTGAACATAAGATAAAATTACTACAGCTGCAGATGGCCAGTTATATCCCCAGGGGCCCACCTTTTTTAATGATATATGTTTAGTACATACATTTTGCAGAGGAAAAGTTTTTTCTCATGGTTTAATTTGCAGTGGACCTATGGCCTTCGATACAATAAAATGCTAAAGAGTCTTAACTGAGGAGGATCCTCTCCTGCCATAGAGTCTGCAGCTCCTTCTGCACTCTATGGGGCGCTACCTTTGAAGGTGACCCGGAAACTAGATCAAATCCAGAATGCAGCAGCTAGACTCGTAACTGGGAGCAGCAGCCAACTAAGACCTGAAAGACCTACATTAGCTCCCAGTATGTTTCCGAGCAAAATTCAAAGTGTTGGTGCTGACCTTTAAAGCCCTAAATGGCCTCAGCCCAGTATACCTGAAGGAGCATCTCCACCCCATTGCTCAGTCCTGACACTGAGGCCCAGCTCCAAGGGCCTTCTGGCAGTTCCCTCCCTGCGAGAAGTGAGGTTACAGGGAACCAGGCAGAGGGCCTTCTTGGTAGTGCCCCCCCCGTGGAAAGCCCTCCCATCAGATGTCAAGGAAATAAACAACTATCTGACTTTAAGAAGACATCTGAGGGCAGCCCCGTTCAGGAAAGCTTTTAATGTTTCATCTTTTATAGTGCTTTTAATTTTCTGTTGGGAGCCGCCCAGAGTGGCTGGGGAAACGCAGCTAAATGGGCGGGGTATGAAGGAATAAAATAATAATAATTCCTCCTGCTCCTCCCTGGCTGGCAGGAGACTCTCCTGACTCCCTGTTTACTCCCTGCCATTCCTCCCCATTCCCTGCCCTGCGGCCTTTGCTGGGCGCTCCTTCTGCTTTCTCTGGACAGAGGAGCGGGAGAAAAGGCCGCAGGATGAGGCCAGAGGCCGGTCAAGGCCAGCGAGCAGCGTCGCTTCGGCCTCCCGCTTCCCCTCCCAGGAGAAGACGACCTTTCCCCGTCGCCCTTAGTTCCCCCCAGGAGGGACGCGGCTCCCTCCCTCTCGCCCCCCAATCCCGCCCCTGGTCGGCCGACTCCCCCCAGTTACCCGCCTCCAGGAAGGACAGCATCAACCCGGGGAAGCGGAAAC